ATATTGAATAACTACCATCTCCAAGCATTTCAGATTTCAAATTCAATTTATATTGCTTATTAAAAAGTGAATCCTGAGGAAAAATATACACAAATATAGATAGTAACAATATTCATATTTATTTCAGTATTCATATCCGCAGTAGCAGTGCAATTTGTAGTTTTAAAGTAAATATCACTAGGATATCATGAGCATGTACCTTGATAAAAGCTGCTCTGGATACCATTAGATGAGTAGGTTTTCCAGTGTCTTGAGGGGCTTGTAATGGATCAAATGTTATTGCATTATCACTAAATAAAACTGAAGGAGCTACAAAAGAATATCCCTGTAAACAAAAACAAAAAAATACATGATGAATTACAAATAAGTAAATGATGAAATTTCCAGTGTAAGATGGATGGAAATTGTTGGCTATGATAAACTTACATGTTTTTTTAAACACCAATGGCAGTAAAAATCAGCAATGTTACAATTACATTTTTATCTATATTCACGGAATAGAATGACTGTACTTAAGGTTGTATGTTATCCTATTATTGATTAGTTCAGTTATAAATTTTTAATATACAAGATGTGATCTCATCTCCCTGGTCGACCACCTGAGGGCATTGGATTCTATGCCTATAATCCATAATCCCTTTTTTGACCATATATCATCCAAATGATGCATGATTAGGAAGGTGAGGTTTTTTTGTTTTAAGTGATAATTGCAAGTGCATAAACACCAGGAATAAAACCCAGAACCTCCCTGATGTGCAGCAAACATGTAAACCACTGTACCACCTTCCATGGTTCTTCAATGTACAGTTATTGTATAGTAACAGAGCATTATGGTTGGTGACAGTGACAAAATTCAGCCCCAAATTGTCCCAATATCATGTTGTTTTTTTTTACATTCATATTCATAATTATTCATCCATATTTTCATAGAGACTCCGTAGATTCCTCAAAATAGATTATAACTGATTAATGTGGCAATTGGCTTGAAATGTATATTCATGGTGTTTGGGGGAGATCCTTCATTTGAATGTTTGAGACCATGTATGACAATGTGTTAGATGAATGCAGATGTGGATTATGCATACCTTGAACAATTTGCCATCTGCTGTCTTGGGTATTGCAGCAGGGGAATCAGCTGGTATCATTGTTGTAAATTCTTCAGCAAAATTGCTAACATCCATTTCATCATTAATTCTTGGGCGAAATGGAGCAGGGACTTTTTTCTCTGCCAACTTTTCCCAATTAAGACCCTAAAAAGTGAGAAGATAAATATTATAAATATTTCAAAAGAAATGTTGTTACAGTAGTTAATTAAATTCATCTCAGTGACATCAATAAATATAGGGTATTTTGTAGACATATTGGTGTCATGTTAAAAGTTTGAATTCAATATTTGAAGTTTATCTTGATTATTAGAAACAAACAAACAAATCCAAAGGCAGTATGCGTAACAATAGCAAGAAAATCATATACAGTCACCTCCTGTCCATTAGCTACCTTCCCATACACCTACAACAGTCACCTCCTACCCACTAGCTACCTTCCCATACACCAACAACAGTCACCTCCTGTCCACTAGCTACCTTCCCATACACCTACAACAGTCACCTCTTGTCCAACAGCTACCTTCCCATACACCTACAATAGTCACCTCCTACCCACTAGCTACCTTCCCATACACCAACAACAGTCACCTCCTGTCTACTAGCTACCGTTCCCATGCACCTACAACAGTCACCTCCTGTCCACTAGCCACCTTCCCATACACCTACAATAGTCACCTCCTGTCCAACAGCCACCTTCCTATACACCCACAACAGTCACCTCTTGCCCACTAGCTACCTTCCCATACACCTACAATAGTCACCTCCTGTCCACTAGCTACCTTCCCATACACCTACAATAGTCACCTCCTGTCCACTAGCTACCTTCCCATACACCTACAACAGTCACCTCCTACCCACTAGCTACCTTCCCATACACCTACAACAGTCACCTCTTGTCCAACAGCTACCTTCCCATACACCTACAACAGTCACCTCTTGTCCACTAGATACCTTCCCTTACACCAACAAGTCACCTCCTGTCCACTAGCTACCTTCCCATACACCTACAACAGTCACCTCTTGTCCAACAGCTACCTTCCCATACACCTACAAAAGTCACCTCTTGTCCACTAGATACCTTCCCTTACACCAACAAGTTACCTCCTGTCTAACAGTACCTTCCCATACACCTACAACAGTCACCTCTTGTCCACTAGATACCTTCCCTTACACCAACAAGTCACCTCCTGTCTAACAG